AATTGGCTGTGCAGATATCACTTGATGGCTACTATCTTCTAATATCTGATGGGAAGCTGGAGAAAATATAGCTATTATGTCTTGACATGGGATAAAATATGTATGAGTCATCTGGGATCACTAAGGCTAAGAATATGTAGTCCAAATGTAACAACAATCAGCAAATTTTGCCCAGTTTTGTTTCTGCTTGTATTATTAGCAAGCCAACAGAACATCTCTTGAAGTTCATCCTGAAGTCCTCACAGCTCTGCAAATTTCATGGGCGATGATCCAATTTGGGCATTAAAGTCGCTCACTGTAATAGTTAAAGCATTTGAGAATCCTATACATCAACACTCCCACAATTGTTCCAGGAGTAGGCAAACATCAGCAGAGTTATACTGTGAATTTTCTGGAGGAATATAAATATTATCCAAAACTAGGACAGAACTTCGACTATGAAGCTACTAAACAGTTTTGAGGAGTGTCAATAGCTGACCAATTCTTCCTTCCACCCCATGAGTAGGCATCCTTCAGTCTCGAGAGACTATGGTAATGTGCTCTGCATGGAAGTCTTGGAACAGCGTCTAGTGTGGCTGAGAAGGCCAATTCAAGAGTAACAATCTCTTCCACATTGAAGACAAATACAATCTGTCCCCTGTCCAGCTCCCTGATTTTGCTGCTTTCGGGACTGCCTCTTTGCCTTGGACTGCTGGACAAGGATCTCTTCAAATTGGGAGAGGCCGTGATGCACCGCCTGCCTCCAGGCTGAACGCTCAGACGTCAAGGTTGAGGTCCATTCCTAAAGCCTTCCACCCCAAATCTTTAACTGCAGTTAGTATAGCACGTATTGCTATTTTTAATTTTTGAAAGGCTCAAATTGAGCATTTAAGAAATTTTAGATCTCTTGGCCTTTGGCTTCATGCCAAGCTCTCATGGAGGCATCATCTGAATGTAGTTCACATGAAAAGTGTTTCATCCTGCTCAGTCCTTTTGCAGTCTACCAGTGTCCATGGGGGTGGGTGGATTACTAGCACCTGCAGTTGAGGTGTTTGCTTAAGTCCCCCAAATAATATAAGGGGCAGATCTATGTGGGTATACAAAGTCGGCCACTCAAGAACTGGTCCAAAACATTTTTATACAATCACTCCTAACTGTCTCTCATGGCATACCTGCTGCACACTTAAGGACTGAAGTGGGATTAAGGTAAAGGTAAAGGTTCCCCTTGACAATTTTTTGTCCAGTCGTGTCCGACTCTAGGGGGCGGCGCTCATCCCCGTTTCCAAGCCATAGAGCCAGCGTTTTGTCCGAAGACAATCTTTCCGTGGTCACATGGCCAGTGCGACTTAGACACGGAACGCTGTTTACCTTCCCACCGAGGTGGTCCCTATTTATCTACTTGCACTTGCATGCTTTCAAACTGCTAGGTTGAGGCAGGAGCTGGGACAAGCGACGGGCGCTCACTCCGTCACGTGGATTCGATCTTACGACTGCTGGTCTTCTGACCCTGCAGCACAGGCTTCTGCGGTTTAGCCCACAGCGCCACCACGTGGGATTAATCGCCATTAAAACACATCCCTATATCTCACTTGCTCTGTATGAAACTGGCTTGTATGAGTGACTCTCTCTCCTTCCAAAAAAGTGCTTTAAACAACAACTTCAGAGTCCATCCCAGGAGTCATGCATAAATTCATTTAGGCCCATTTTACAGAGCTAAAGGATTTATACAGTCTTTGCCAATCTTTGTGTCTAACAGAGTTAAGCAGCTGGTCAAAGAAAAAACAACGGTCTCTCCCCTAAGTGGCTGGATTAGTGTACCATTTCACAAATGTCATATTTCTACTGGACTCCACTGTACAAAACATCATTTAGCTTGGAGAATTATTTTGCAATCTAACTGTAGCTCATTTAAGAAAAGCAGTTGCAAGATCTGTGTTTTCAGTGTAAGACCATCAGCCATTCTGGAGGGGAGACATGATCATGTCCAGTTCCATCAAAGATTCTGAATTTGTGGATCACAAGTGGTCTAAGATGTTTTCCATTCTTTATTAAGTTATCTGTGAAGATTCTCAGTCATCCAGGTGTGGTTATCGGGAAGTTGTCATGGCAACTGGAAGAAAGAAGTCCAGTTGCCATGACTCAGCGTCCAGATATTTATTAAGTTGCTCTTTATATGAGCAGCCTAGAATTCAACTGATGGCTGGCAGTCTTACATCTTTGTGTGACAGACCCCACCCCCCTTTGGCTGAGTTTATATATGTCTTGTTAGTTAGTTAGTTAGTTAGTTAGTTAGTTAGTTAGTTAGTTAGTTAGTTAGTTAGTTAGTTAGTTAGTTAGTTAGTTAGTTAGTTAGTTAGTTAGTTAGTTAGTTAGTTAGTTAGGTAGTTAGTTAGTTAGTTAGTTAGTTAGTTAGTTAGTTAGTTAGTTAGTTAGTTAGTTAGTTAGTTAGTTAGTTAGTTAGTTAGTTAGTTAGTTAGTTAGTTAGTTAGTTAGTTAGTTAAAATCATTCCCCCCCCTTTCTTCTTGAAAAAACTCGGAGGTGGCTTACAACAATGAAAGACAATATGTAAAGTTGAAAGCAATTAGCATACAACGGTGGTTAACATCATTAAAAGACTATATACAAAACTAGAAACAATGAATAAAGAGGCATCCTACATCATTAACAAGTAATATTAAAGCAAAGAACAACAAGTAAACAATTTTTTGAAAGAAAAGCCACTCTGAGAAATGGGAAACACTAAAATGGAAAACACAAGTAGTACTAATAATCCAGTGAAAGCAATAATGTATA